TTGGAGTCTGTCCGTCAAAATCAGCGATTACGCAGAGTTTACGAAAGCGCTTTTCACCTCATCTATTCAGAAGGGTCAGTAGATTCCATGACCATCATTTGAAAAGAACAAGAGCTTGAAAACTCTTCAAACCAGTTGTTCGTTAAAGCAAATTGACTTTTGTTACTTTTGAAAGCAAAAAAATGCAGTGAACTTTTTTCTGTGGAAAGGAGAACATGTCGCAAATGTTGCAAATGTTTCATATTCTAGGATGTAATTGTACAAAAAAATTTGAGAGTCAACGAGAGCATTAGTGATTAGAAATATCAGGTGTCTTTATGATTTTGTCCAGCTTTCAAAGAGGGCTTTTTCGAATTTTTTCGTTTTTTTCGTTCAAACTCAACAAGACTGGAAGCCGTTCCAAGAGTTTATGGAAGGTTGACATGCGCACAATATAGCAAAGTTTCAGACAGATTCATTGACAAGAACGAAAATTACGACGATTTTTAGAGTGTCTTTATAATTATGTCCAGCACTGTATGACCAAACGCCAGCAAAGGTTAGTTAGAAATGTGAGTGCTGCTCATTTTTGAAATCCGTTTGCAACCCAATTTTGTCAACACCATCAGTTCAGTAGCGGAGCTTATAAGACTTGGACAGATATAAAAAAATTGTGCACAAAGATGAGGGGAATCCTGCACTTGCAATGTATCGGAGATCGACCGTCTTCTTCGGCTGCGTTCATACAAGCTGCGGTCAGCCCCAGAAGTGACTAATTTGTCTGTGCTTTGATGTATAATCGATTTTGAGCTGAGTGCAATCTCGGGTACCTCCTTTTAGATAGAATTAGGGTTGGTCGCATAGACCAAAATTTTTGCATAATCACTACCAAATAGGAAGGTTGTATCGGAGTCGAAGACCAAGAGTAAAAAGTCAACGCAAAAAAGTGGTGGCAGTTCTTCTACGGAGGTAGCTCAGTTTGTAAGTACTGGTCTGTTATACAACTTGAGAAGGAACTGCCGAAGAGAACGTAGTCTCCGAAATCATCTACATTTTAGTTGCTCGTATACATGCCAAACAAGGCGTTAGTATCGACAAAGAAATACGTGGAATGGATAACTCTATGTGGTAATGCACTTAAAAGGAGACATAGGCAGATCTACGGTAGCACCGGATAGTGTACTTTTCATCAATCACTGCTCATTCTTGAGCTTACTGAAGTGAACTCATTATTCGGGCATCAAGTGGAAATGTCACAGTTTCGTAGAAGACGTGTAAGCAGTCTTTCTGCAGATCACTTAAGACTGCTCACAGATGCTTGCTTTCCATCTGATCCGGAAAACAGCCAAAGCTGAAGGCAGCAGTTCATATACAAACTAGCGGGATGGAGCCGTTATGCAGAGGACTCGCAAATCCGAAGATCCACCACAACATCGCATGCTAAAGTTCTACCGTGTAAGTTTAGTTCTAGATCTGGCTAGACATTGACTGCCCGAAGTGCGATTTCGGCACATAAGTAACACAACGTTTTACATAACTTTTGTCTTTTAGAATGTGGCGCGTTCTTTTTTTGGTTTCCAAAGATTATTGAACTACGGCACCCATTTTTAGTGAGTTTGGCTACCGCATGTAAAAGCTACGGTATTTTTACGTCATTTTTACGTCATAAGGAGAAAAACTTTGGATCGCTTTATCGCTAAGAGTTGGAAAAGGAGGGGCGGGGTAACGATCTGTCAATTGCAAATACGAATGCCATTCCGCACAAAAGAGCATATGTAAGCAGTGGCGAACCCAAAATTTTTGTTCGGGATGGGGGGGGGGACAAAAAAAATTTTTTGGATAAAGGGGCGTGGCATTGTTTTTACAAGGCTAATTTGAATTTTTAAAAATTTTTTTGATTATTTACAATTAAAAACAATTCCTCTGTACATTTTTATAACATATTTAAGAAACCTTTAAAGATTTCGCGACCCATTCTCGGAAGCTATTTGTAAGGTTAAAGTACTATTTTTTTTCTGCCCATTGAATGATATGACATGGTATTCGTGTTCAGCATGTCGAATATCCCACTGTGCAAACTTTTGGCAGACTCTGAGGTTCGCAGCTTGATTATTGATGGATATCTCTCCGAATTTGACGCATGAGCTTGTTAAACTCCTCGAAGGCGACAAATCTTCAGCTTGCCTCAACCTTTTCTTTCTCACTAAGTGTTGTTGGTCAATCTCTAGCAACTTGCTGCTCATAAATATCTTAGGTGTTCAGTTCATTTTGTGCACGGCTTCTTTTGCTCAAAATATCGATTTTAGGAGTTCTTGAGAAATGTGATTTTCCCTCATCGACTTATCAAAATTCAAACGATTTGCAAGCTGTTGTATGTATTAGGGTGTCTACGATTTCATACCGTTTCTAGCTAAAAATCAGCATTTCTGAAGAACTGGGGCACTTTAGAAGGATACAAACACATGATTGCTTCTGTATGTCTGAACAAAATGATCACGTGCGTGGGAGGAGCTTACACGTCTAAGGCCTCGAGTAGAGTTTACGCGATTTAATCGTCGCGATACAAGACAAGTGTAACAATATCATTACATGCCGATCTCCTTGTATTTCGCTCTGATAGTTTTCCAACACCACTAATTATGACTAACTATCACGACCGAGATACAAGAAGATCGGCATGCAATGAATTCGTAACACTTGTTTGTAGCGATTGAATCGCGGCGATCAAATCGCGCGAAATCTGCGAGGCCTAAGGACGGAGTTTGCCATTTCACTCCATTCAATTTTTTTTATTTCTAGATATAAAATTCGAGAAGAAGATGCAAATACGGTACAGTTGAATGTTCGTTGTGTCAAGCATATGCTAAGATAACTGGGAAATTTTCATAATTTTTGGGCGGAGATACGTTTTCGAAGGTGAAGTTCATTTTCGACTGCTATCAGATTTCAACTCAAACTTCACGCGAAGTTGATTTGAGCGGACTCTTCATAGCCATGTTCTAGAGCTTGCTTTGCCCTGTCAAACGATTACTCAAGCCACATCAACTGAGGGAATGATACAAAAAGACGATGGTAGTAGTAAGAAGGTAAAAATTCATAAGACGTCCTAACACAATACATCGCAACCTATATAACGCCATCAAAAAGCAAAAAGTTTATGGAGGAAGTCGCAAAACTTATGTGACGATCTACTCGGAGTGATGGAACTATTTCTGCATAGTGAAGCCTATCTTCAGCAGTGAACATCTTTATGTGTTCAACCTTTCCAAGGTGTGGGGAGATTAACAGTGCACATGCAACGATAAAGCTAGAATTTAAGTAGACTTAAGTTGATGAAAGATGGAGAAAGTTCAAAGGTATATTTCAATTGACTACAAGAACTTCTGCTCTTCAGCGACTGCCAGCCCAGGGCAGCTTTGATGCGCAACTCTGTCAGATGACATAATTTTTCAGGAATTTTTCAGAACCAAGGTTGAGTTTCCAGTGCAGTGTACACCCAAAAGGTAAGTTACCAGTTCTCTATACCATGTATATACAGGGCCCAGAAGAAGACCAACTTTGTTGGTCCGGTCCGCTCTCCCAATCTTGCTTCTGAGCGGAGAAAACCCGCCCGATTTTTCTTTTACTCCGCCCCTTTTCTTTCACTCCGCCTCCTTCGAACGAATCCACGACAGCGTAAGCTGCAGTTGCAGTTGCAGTTGCAGTTGCACCTGCTGTTGCAAACGCAACATCAGATGCAACAATGCAGTTGCTTCTTGCAGTCCGCCTCCTTCGGACGACGAATCCACGACAGCATACGCTGCATTTGCAGTTACAACTACAGGCTGTCAGCAGTTGCAGCCACTCCTCTCTGGCATGCCGACGAATTCGAGCAATTCGAAACTCGTCCTCTTTCTGAAGAGAGGGTCCCCAAGAATCGAGGTTTTTTGGGGGTTTTGGAGAATTTCAAAGTCATAACTGTAATTAGGGGCACGGAAAGGCCCCAGAATGACAAAAACATCGAAGGCGAAATTTTGGGTGTACGCTGCCTTTAGGTCGTACTTAAAGCAAAAAGCACGCTGCAAGGCAACCGCTAAAGCAGTACAGTAAGTTCCAACTCGGTTTAGGCGGAAATTGGACTGGCCGGAGTTCGCTTTACAACGATTCGCGCCGCTTTACAGTCTGCGTCTCTTCATTCTAATCCATCTCGCTGAGCCAGTGGCGGTGCGGACGCGCTGCTCCACTTGGAATGTTTCGCCTACTCAGCGTTGAAAAAACTGTACAGTATCAAAAATTTCGATGGACAGATGATGATAGGGCGCAAAAAGGACCATATTGCCTCCTAACTACAAAAGCAAAACTGTTTCCGCTGAGAGAAATCTTGCCGCCGATAGGGCTCCGCTGGCGAGGAACAATGCTTAAAAACGATGTTGCCTCAAAAGGCAGCTGGAACCTATGGTTGGCATGATCTTCCTTACCCTTATGCTATTCCTTTGAACAACATCATTGGCAAACAGACATTATCATAACCCCCAAGTCTTGCTTCTCCTCATATATGCACCTTGATCACCTTTCCTAAGAAGTCCATTAAAGGCAGTGTCTCACCAAAATTTAGTTGCCGAGATTTTTGCATTTTGCAAGTCTGTCGGATCCTGTCTAGCTGTATGGGCTTAAAGTCGCATGAAGTTCCCAAAAACCCCGTTTTCTGAAGGCCCTGCGGAAGCGACGTGGACGAGTTATTGCTTCCAACTTCAGCCTCAGCCACAGTGGCAGCAACAGAGGGGAGGTGGATGCCAAGTGGAGGGACATGTTCAAACGTGTAAGGGGGAAGACCGAAGGAGTTGCCCGCGGGAACCAAACCACTCTCCGCGTACCACTTTGAGCGAATTTTTCTCAGCGTGGAGGAGGTCAAATTGAGTGGGACTTGTTGCAATGGCCTATCTAGAGGTCCCTATAATAGAATATGTGAAGATCCGCGCGACCTCTTTGGTGAGACACTGCCTTTAAGGCTCAAAGATGGAAGTGTTGTGCAACTGTGCAATGGAATGATCTAGCGTTTATTAAGCGTTAAACGCCGAATATGTACGACACACAAAACGATAACAAGCACAGTTCAACATTCAATACGTATTACGCTATACTGTTCCTTAGACACAATAGAAGATGTATTCAAATGAGAGATCTTCAGATTACGAGATCGCTCTGCACTTTCAGTAAAGCTTCCGCACTTTTCTTCAATTGTTCAACTTCACCGGGACTCAGAGCTTGCTTTACAATATGCGTGATTCCAGTTGATCCTAAGACAACTGGTAAGGAAAGGTAGACGTCGTCAGTAATTCCGTGGAAACCCTAAAAAATCGTTCGTCATTCATTTTAAGAACGTCACAGAAAAAAATGTTCAGAAGAAGAATAACTCACTTTGACATTTGTGGAAAGCGCAAAGACATTGCGAGAATTTGTCATGATAGCTTGAACGATCTTAGCCACGGAGAGACCAATTGCCCAAGATGTGTAGCCCTTCAGTTTGATGATCTCATAGGCACTGAAAACGGAAAAATGAAAAAAAAATCGGATCATTCGATCAATTGCTGAAAAGTTAGTTTCTTGAAGGCTACGGAAATTCATCCACAGAATTCTAGAGACACACGAGTGCCCAACATTATGGTGAGAATTGAGTGCGAATTCAAGATGACCTTCGTCCAAAGAAGAATAAACGGAAATCAAATAATGATGTTTTTTGTTAATTTACTCAGGAATTGAATCGCAAGTTTCTGCCTCTAAAGAGATACGATTACTTGGCTCATTCAACTTATTATGGCGTAAAAGGGTTCTTGATGAGCATATTTTATCTTCCACGACTTATTTTACAAGAAAACAGATGGGGTCAACTCTGATTCGCCATATTTTTGTTACAAGAAAACTCTATTAGACTTCCTACTGTAGCGTTTTTTGCTCGTTGAGATTTCTCTTCCCTATATTTGCAATTCTTAGAGACATGATCTTAATACAAGATGTTTTCTAGCTCTATAAAGGATTTCAAATAGAAATGCAGACAGACAAAGAAAACCTATAGTCTTAAGGAGAAGATTAGAGGAAACAGTTGGAGCACTGTCAAAAAAGTTTTAGGTTATTTGGCCAAATCCGCACAAGTTCGTTACAAAACGCGGATACTGCCGAAGTCTCACAGATTGAGACTATACATTGAGCATTCCATCTTCCTTCCTCTTCCCTTTCCACTTTCTTCAATTTGTACTTTTTTGTGGCACAATACAACATATGAACGTACCTTTCGATGACTTTCTTGTGTATATCTTCCTCCCAATGTTCATCGTCATCCAAAGCACCAATGTTGGCTTTCACATTCGATAACGTCACTCCAGCAACATTCACTCCAGACCACACAGCAACTGAAAAAGTAAATTCATCACCGGAAGCTAACTAACCATACCAGGGGTACTTACCGCTAGAGTCACCGTGTTCGCCAATAATCCAGCCGTGGCAAGATGACGGGGCAATATGCAGTTTTTCGGACAGTAGGAAGCGGAATCTGAAAATCAAATTTAAAGACATGGAGAGATTTTCCGACCCAGACTGCTAAAGCTTATAATTTGCGAACAGGTAGCCAGATGATAGAAAAACCCTACCTGGCGGAGTCGAGATTTGTTCCGGACCCGAAAACACGTTCTTTAGGTAACCCAGAAAGCTTCCAGGTAACATAGGTGAGAACATCGACTGGAAAATGATGATATGAGTATCGCAGTTATTTAAGCAGTATACTTTCAAAAAAGCGGTATTATGCCCTTAGTTACTGAATTGATTTTGCAAAGCATAAATTTGAGAAATGTAATCTTAGCATGGTGAATGGGTACATCACCGTAAGCTGCTACAATTTAGGAAGTTCTCCAAAAAGAATCTGTTAAGCAGCGTACATAAGTGATGCCACACTGATTCGACAAGGGAAGATTTGTTGCGCCCCTTTCCCTAATAAAAAACCTCTTGGACGCCCCTGATTTTGAATCTCATATTTTTTTGGTCTACATCATTTCCATTCTCTCCTACAAAGCCAAAAAATAATTGAATCTCATATTTTTTTGGTCTACATCATTTCCATTCTCTCCTACAAAGCCAAAAAGTAAAAGACGACAAAGGATGCCCATCGCCAATTATGTTGCTTCGAGTACCGTAATCTCTTCAGATCTTCCAAACAAATTTTGCAAAGAAAAATTCAAAAGTTTTCTAAGTCTTGAATGCCAAACTGAAGGTTAAGAATTTCGTTACTAATTCTGAGCAAACCTACCAGGATTTGAGACTACCATAATGATAGTTTCGGGCGAGTAGTGAACAAGTCTTGGCACAATGCCCTTGAAGATCTCGACATTTCTTTGCACAAGTGACAAGCGAGTTTCTCCTTCACGTTGTCTGGCTCCGGCCGTAATCACACAGAGGTTTGATCCAGCCGTGATAGAATAATCTAAACCATTAACGCTTCGGATTAAATTCATCTGCAGCGCGAAAACTCAAAGACCAACCCGTGTCGGCCTTGACAACGCAGCGTCTAGTGAAAGCTAAGCCATGCTGCAAATCCATCATTTCTCCTTTCAGCTTGTCAGCCACTACATCCACAAGACATATTTCGTGAGCGATGTTCTGAAATGAATGAGTTTGAGAAAATTTCAAGGAATGGAATTGTCAATGCTTGAATAAAGAAGTTTTCTGGAAAAAGCATCCAAAATCAAAATTCAATTTCATATAAAATTCGAACAAATTTTCGAGATGTTATAAAAAGAGAGTACAGTACACACCTGCTGCAAGATAGTGTAGGCACATGCCATACCCACTTGACCAACTCCAACCACGGTCACTTTACCATGCGCTTCTTTAGCTATCGGAGCTATCTCCTCGAACACTTCCCTTACGGTTGCTGACATTCTGTAAATAAAAAATTTATGTGGCTAGAAAATTGACTTAAGCATTGGTGACGACTAGGAGTATAAATTTGGATGAAATCATTCATTCGCCTCTTCTTCGAATTCGCCATTGTCCCGCTGGCGCACGGTCATTTTCGAACAATTGATTTGCCTACTTTCGTTTTTAAATTAGCAAGTTTAATCTAGCCAAATAATTTTTCAATCCTTCATTGGATCATTTGGGCAATTACTGACATAGATAATGTTCCTCTACAAATCGAATACAGAGATAAGTCAAATTTGAAGTAGACAAAGGGAGAGTTAGTTAAAACCCTCCCCGTACCCGGAGAAAGATGCCGCGAAATTTTGAAAGTGGTTTATGAGTCACCTAAATGTGCAAGCCACTCGTTGCAAGTGATTACTATGACTTCTTGATTTTTAACAGAATTTTGGCTAGTTTTTCATAGGAACAATTTACGCATCGTGACCGCTACCAATCCCATCAATTTTTTCCGAGAACGTGGCTGCCCCTCCCAAGCAAAAAAACGTCTTTGAATCACAATCATTGACACAAATAGTCGCGCTGAGAAAACTCTCAATCAGCTCGTCAGTATGACTTATTCTACTACACCATCTACATATTCACAAAAATGATTCAATCTTTCGGCTGAGGTGTTCTTGCAAAAAGTAGTGCTAACAGATTTTTGAACGTACAATGAAAGATATGTTTATTACGGCAACATAGCATGAATTGCCATTGAAAGTTTTTAAACCCACTATCTTTGCAGCTTTTTCGCCGACCTTGGTAACAGTTAACGCTACAGGTTAAAACATAAATGATAGGGCTATAATGACCGGATGCTTTTTACATATCAAAAAAAGTCATCAAGGGATTATGTTAACGATAAATAATTTCTCGAAGATTTCAGGCAGACAATGGCGTCGTGACGACTTTATGCACTAGTATGACTCGTGAATCATGCTAAAAGGAAGGGATGGATCAAAAACAAATGCTCTAAATCATCTCAAATACAAACCATAAAACTCACGAAAAGTGGGGAGCTTTTTTGTTCACAGAATGGGATGCTTTCTTGCTCATGATTGCGGAGAACGACTGAGGTTTTTAGCGGGTAACGGGAGGTTTTATGGGAAACAAAATTGTTTGTGAGTAAGGCTCAGGTTACAGCGAAAGACGTGGATCAACTTCAATGAAGTTCTCACCATATGGCAGCACATAAGTTGAAGACAGTTATGAAAAATGTAAACAATATGAAGAAGGGACCACATACGCAAAAAAAATCGAAGAAACTGATCAAGCTGACTATGGTAGTGGAAGAAACGCCTAAAATCGCCAATGAGATGTTTTTTATGAAATTTGAAGTTTAAGGCCTTCAAAGATTTGGCTTCAACGATAACTTAGTGATGATCAGGTCAAGGACAGAAATACCACAAAAAATCTTCCAAAGCAATATGCGCAAGTGGCCGATGTTTTGTGTAAAATACGAGGGGGGGGGTTGTCCCGAAGAGCGACAAGGTCAAAAGATCGAGCGTAAAAGGTGAAAGAGCGAGGAAAAGGAAAGCTGCAAAGGGCAGAGTTCTGCTTCAGAGATCGGACTAATAAAAACAGATAATACTTCCTTTTTAATGAGCACTACCACTGAAAAAATATCCTCCTAACTAAAGCGCATCAGCTCTCAAAAAATTCCAGTCCAAGGATTCGACATAAGCAAAAAGCTCCCCCTCCCATGTATAAATTAGGTATACTATTCAAATGCAGATAAAGCGGAGAGCAAATTTGCTGAGCAGTATGTGTGGAAGAAAACAAGAAATGGGGAGCAAACAATTTTGATGTTACCATTTACGCCGCGAAAATTCGTAAACATAAACAAACCTATGTGGCTTTCAAAATACCAGAGCAAAGCAGAACAATATTGGAAAGATCGGTGCTCAACAAACAGAATGTTGCACAGTACGGATGTACGAGACGAAATTGCATTTTTAGAGCTTATCGATCACGAATTTAGAACCATCGATGCCCTGGATAATAGTGTTTTTCTGAATGCACACAATAAGGGCCCATGTTTGAAGTGTAAAAAGTGTCAACAACTGTCAAATCATATTTCTTTAAGTTTCGAAGCATGCACAAAAAATTAATTTGGGCAATCAAACATTGCGAATCTTGCCTCAGCGAGTGGAACTGGGTGCAAGGAACGATGAAAAATGCACTCAAAACAATGAAATCTAGACTTCGAAGTACTTTTAAATCACCAACGTGCTTTAGGCAGGTGCAATTTGATAATTTATCCGCGGAATTAAGAATTTAATCATGTTGGAGCATGGATCCTGTAATAAGTAACTAATGTTCTAGCTCCATCATTCATAGATTGTACTAAAGGAGAATAGAAAATAGTGGGTGATACGCAGGTTTAGATGCAGATTGCAGGAATGTATTGCAGGGAAAGGAGATAAAAATGAATTGGGAGGGAGAGGAGATAAAGTGATTTTCATCCTCAGTCTCGAAACCAAACTCCAATCTTCAGAATTTGCCCTGTTGCACGTCAGCGATTTTTCTCGATTTTTCTCCCTTTTTTTGTAGATCTTTGGCATTTGATTTGTCCCAGCATGTTAGAACTCCCGCTTTTCAACATTCTCCCTGGCAAACATCCAACTACTGAGCTTATAACCTCATGAGAAAGACAGGTTAACAAAATCAGTGGAGCGCGTTTATCAAAAACAAAAGAGACTATAGGAACTCAAACAAAAGAGAAGAACGTTTTTTACGCTGCTTGCCAAGTCGTAAGCACAGTCTGGCATGGTTTTTTCCAAATTAAGACGATAAGTTGCGCAAAGCTACTCTAATCAGTTCCACGAGGTCAACTCCACAAGAAATAATACCTTTACCAAATCAAAATTTATAGAACGATAGAACAGCCGCGATTCTGAAAAATTAGTCTTGAATGATCTTTCGATCACTGTTGATTGATCTTCTGTATGTTTTGCAGACGGTGCAAATTTCCAATGATAAACGATCAGTGATGCTTTAGCAGCGGTGCTGTTATTTACCAAATTTTCACGAACAGAATTTAGCAGCAGAAACGCTTTCCAAACGGCCCCCTACTTTTCTTCAGCACAGAATTGTAGCTTCGCACAAGCCCAGAATTTACATAATTGCCTAGCAACATAAAGAAGGTTATAAAAAAAGCATTTGAAGGCAGGAGATGAAGAAAATTTCGATTTTTGAAATTACTATTGCTCACATACTCAGCTGAGGCTCTAGATTAAGCAGTCTCTATTGAAGGACAAGAATTATGTTTTCTGTATTTCAGTGAATATCCAGACTCTCCTTTATATGCAGTTCGCGAGTTCACTAACAATATTCTAATAATGGTCTTCCCACTTAAAAGGGCTAGTATAATCCGATATTTCTCAGCCAAAACTACAAAGTACCGCTTTCGCTTGACAAAATTCTTTCTATTCAAGATAGTCGAAACGAAGCTGATAGAAAATTCCTCGAAAAAAGTGTTTTCCCACAGCCCAAAAGAGCGAGGAGGAGGAGGTGAGTAAAAAGAGTCGATTCGGCCGCAAATCAATAGGCTCGAGCCAAGCGAAAGGAGACTGGCAAAGAGAGAGCAAGACCAGCTGTGGTTCGGGTCAAGCTAAAAGCAAAAATAGGAAGAGTGAAAGATTTAAAAAATTAATCATAGAGAGCTTGAGATGTCACGAAACTGTAAAAAAATTTCAAGCACCCCGTTTTTCCAAAAAATTGTCAAAGTCAATAAAAGTAGCGGTTTAGCGAAGAAACAAGCACTGAAGAAATTCTTCTCTTTCAAGCTGAATCATTAGTTCAAACCGATGACTCATCTATCCCTCCTCCCCGGAAGTGCCATAAGCATGATGTCATAGGTCATTATAATATTGCATCAGAAGAATTGTGAAATGTACTTGCGATAGCTAGCCCGAAAGTTGTTTACTCAATGTCTCTGCAAATCGCGCAAAACATGCAAACTCGTCCGTGTTGACCTTGGCGCTGGGTCACCATCCCCCCCACGCCACTTGTCCTTTTAGTCAATTTCATTCCATTTGCAGTTTTTCTCCGAAAATCTGGAAAACGTTCCCCATCAAATAAAGTGAGCACCATTCTTACCATCAAGAGTAAAGTGCAATCGCCGTCGTGCTCAATTAGACAAAAGCATCAATTTGTTGTTTTCCAAGCTAGTCAGTTAAGCTGCAAGAGGCGTGCTAAAAGCCATGTTTACGGTAGAAAATGTGATTACCATATTTTAAGAGAAATGGACTTTTGGAGGAAATTTAGATTTCCAAAGCGACAATAATCAAATCAGAAGAATCAGGAGAATAATCAAATTATCGGGAGAAAAGTGTGAAAAACTTGAACAGATTTTTCTCCTAAGTGAATCTTCGAGAAAAAGACCACCATGAACTCACATATTCGACAAATGGAACAGTTCTTTCCCCAAGTCTAAAACGTTGCTATCCTTTTTTAGTTTTCAAAAGGTTAAAATTGGGTTTTCTAGCTAATTTTAGTCAAAATATTCGTTTGCTTTCAAAAGCACAGATGACTTGGGTAATTTGTCCAGTAAGTTTCAGCCTTTTTTTACCGCATTCCTTTTCCAAAAATTGATTTTTTACCACACTAACTGTGAAGAAAAAAAATTCTTTGACTTAACAACGCATAATGATCAAAAAGTTATAAATACTAGAGCTACTCTACAACATTTACTAGAATGATGATTTTCAAGTATTGCACCATGCAGAATTCTAGAAGTCCCAACTTTTTGAACCTTTTGATATCTTTTGAAGTGAATCACCCCACAGCCAAGCACTAGAATGAATTTTTGAAGAGAATATTGATTTGTGAACATTGAGCAATTTTTCAACTCCCCCTCCCCTTCCCCTGATTCGTGGATATTTCTCAAGGTAATTGGCCCCTACTCACTTATCATCGACATCCTATTGCGCCCCTTTCCTCACGGCCCCTTCCCTGAATTGCATCATCACCGTTCCCGAGGCCATGATGCAATTTTAGCTTCTTGCGAAATTTCCGGTAATATTCCAATTTAAACTGTGGTAATGAAGCACATCAGGCAACTCAAGTGTTTCGAGCTGACATCTCAGATTTCTGGTGCGAAAACAACAATTACAAAGAGAATTAAAATAACAAGGTTCGTAAAATTTGGAGTTGTCCGATTTGCATAATTTTGTAGAAAATAATATGACTTACACAGCTCTAGCATGTGGGTTCATCTCTGGCAGCAGTGGGGGAAGTAAGAGTGTTTCAGAACAGTGCGAGGCTGTGGTTTACAATCAATCTATTCTCACTGGATCAGAAAAAGTCATTGGAACAGGTGACAAGGGCACATGAAGATGCAGAGAGCTATGCAAATAGTTAGAGAAACAAACAAACAAACTAGTTAGATCTCTAGGATTTGGGAGGAATTCGTGCAAAGTAATTTTTGCAAATTTTTGTTTTGTCAGATTAAAGGGCCAAAGTTTCAATAATGAATAAATACTCACCCATGAGCCATGTTGTTTCCAAGTGTTTCCTAGTTGATGACTTGCGAAATTGAGCTGCACTCTCTGCGCGCTGCAAAACCCGATGGAGCCAGGGCTCACGTCGCTAGTGCAGCTTTATGCTCTCGGCTTTATATAATCGAGCCCGCTCCTCCCCTGCCGCGGCTCGCCGTCGTGGCGCCTGAAATGGCAATCTCGATAGGCTCAGGCTTAACAGTCAATGGTATGCTTGACGTTTTATGATGGTTCTAATTGTGGATATGAACAAAAGCAATCAATCTGGATAGGCGAGCCATCCTTATGAGACCAAAGTGCAAGGATAGGATTTTCAAAGCTCTACATACAGGTTGCTATTAGCGGATAGGATAAGATACCGTGATATAAGCTCCTCTTCACCTCTATCTCATCTACCATGACTTGAAGAAAGAGACTGTGACTATACAGAATGCTTATCGCATCGATCAGCATGTCCTCCGCGCGCTGGATATAACCAATTTATGGAAAATCTTAATTTGACTTTTCAACGGTCGGAATGAAAGAATTCTGTTCTAATAATCCCTACGGTGCTCCATATGGGCTTTCAGATAGATTTCACATGCTGATAGCCATATCCTCTCGTTGAAGTAAAACCTCACCTCAGAGCGAAGATGGGATGAAGACGAGATCTTATAACAAACCTACTATAACCCAACAATGGGGCTTTATACAGAATGCATAAGATACCGTAACGCCTGTCGAATAACCCTGTATACATCTTCACGGTTGAATCTGTAGGTTTTGCCTCAAATCGCATTTCTACCGTAACCCTACCGACAACTACAGAAAAGGTCACGAGAAATGTATAGTGTATCACTTTGATATCGAACATCCGGGGGAGGGGGTGAAGATGCTAATGTATATCATACACTTATTGTATAATAATGCGTTCCATAGTGAATGTATAAGGTTATGATCAGTAACCCTAACAACCGCTATGCATATTCACGCTTGAGTTAGATGCCCCACACCATGCCTTCATCTACCGTAATCTCACAATAGAGGCCCTGCTATAGGGAACAGCAATTTTTGATCAATATGTCAAATAACCTCATATGCAATGTCTTTACGGAATTCAGATTTGGCGTTCTTGAGCTATAAAACGAATAACCAATAAAATAAAAGTGAATAACTCACTGATAATCAATAAAATTATTCTGCCGTTGGTTATCAGTCTCGAACCCTGCTCGTCTTTGAATTGCATAATTTATGTAATATCAAAGTATAATTTTTTGTCGAGACTCGGAACGAGAAATCCACCAAAAATCTGCTTTTAGAGTGCTCCCAAGCAGAACTTTTATTAAACGTGTTAACGATGCAATGAATCCAGCAATCAAGCACCTACTGCTTTTAGTGCAATGAATGAAGCCATAGAAACGTCTGACTAATCCGAGCTCAAGGAAGGAATGCCTAAGCTAACTGAAGCGGACAACTTGCTAATGAGGACAGAAGGGCGCTGCTCTTGACGACGTAGCGACGATCGAAACTCTTGAAAAAGTGATGCAACAACTTGAATCTTGGTTAATTTTGGTAGTCATTGAATTTTGAAGTCATATAAATAATCAAAAATCTTAGACCTTACAATTTATGTATAAAGCTCTTCTATCCAAATCCTTTTTCTGGGTAATTTTTTTCCAAATATTGGCAGAGGTGATAAGTTAGAAGTGCTTATAGGAACAGCACTTCCTAACAATAAGGTAATTCTATCCTAGAACGAATTGGCACTCCCAGGCATCCCTTCCTGGAATGTCTACCATATTTGTCTACCATATTCTACCATACCTTTATTTGTTCCTCATGGTAGCGATGTAAGAGGGAGCTGAAAGAGGTCCTCCGCCAAGCACGCATGGATTCGCCCATTCGCTTGGTGCTTCCTCTTTAGATTCGCTTGAAAGTGATTCGCTTATGGCTTTCACACCATGATTTATGCTGTTGAATTAGTGGGCTAAGCTTGCTTGTCTTCTAAATTTGGATTCACTATGGCTGCTTATGGCTGCTGGAGAAACCGTCTATGATTGGCTATTTGTTGTTCTGTTTTTGCTTTTTTTGCACTAACCACGTTCGTCAGGAGCATCGATGAATGCACAAAATAAATAAATAAAATAAATAAATAAATATTACACCGAGATCGTGACACACAAAATCCGGACCCTCAAAATTTTACGTCGAAGCTAATTCAGTTTCTATAAATTTATTATTTAATTTTAAGTGCTTGTAAAACAAGTCATTTGCACAATTTCAGAATTCTTGTGGATTCTTTTGAGCCCTTCTCCTATCAACTTCGCGGCCTTCCACCTCTACCTCAGGGGCATGGAGTAAGCTCAATATAGAGTACAATTGATTAGCACTGAGATTGCTGTCTATTGTTCATGAATAATTGTCAATTCTGCACTTTTATGTGCGTGGATGGATTACGTGAAAACTCACAAAAGACAAATGCAACCTCAAATAATGTCTACTCACAAAAGACAAATGCAACCTCAAATAATGTCTAACTTTCACAAAGCGAAACAATAGCACCAGAACTTACAGTCAGAGTGAGGGCGAGACATAAGCTTAAACAACCTTGAACTCAAGATGAGAATCTTGAGAAATTTCTCTGCGAAAAATTACTCTGAAATCGTAATTTCCTTGAGTACGAATCAACTCTTATGTCTAATGAAATATGTTTTGAAACACTATAGGTATGAGATGAATAAATAATTTACAATTCTCGCTGAACGAAAGTCAGCTATGTCTATTGCCTTGGCTTCGCATTTGATGACATCATCGAGGAATGCCCTTTGTGCAAATTCTCCCTTCCACCACAGATTTCAAAGCGTGTGTGTGTCTTTCTTGCAGAAGAGGGAATGCATCGAGGTGTTTGGTTGACCATATAATATTTCCGAGAACCCGCATAGACATTACGAGAAGATTTAATGACCTATCGTTAGAGTTTATCGAGTTCTCCAGCTCGCATATAAGTATTGAGGAACTGATTGTGAGCTCATAATGAGTAGTGAAGGAATTAACATTTGGCGAGGTTATTATTGAAACACAGCTGGATGAAATATGATAAATCTAATGTTTTTGATCACAAGCAGCACACCAAAATATTCTGAGCATGATGTTCAGTTCACGCACTGTTCACTTCCATAATGCCAGCAATAGCTCAATCACTCTAGCATAGCAGATTTTTGCTCCAACTATTTATCTTAATTGGATAAATACGGTACCGCTCATGATCTCTGCAAAAAAGAGGGATGGTCATCTGAGCACTTTGATATCACCGTAAAGTGCCTCATATCGAGAGTGGACAAAATCCGAATCCAAAGACACTCGATTCAGCTCGACGAGGAGCATCTTCTGATATATGGATGTGTCCTTCCGGATACAGTAAACGCACGCCAGGCAGCCAGATTTCACGAATGAAACTTTTTGATTAATGAGTCAACTACAGAGTGTCCCAAAAAGATGTGCACACTATTTGGTCGTTAATAACACTCTTGCTTTCATGTCTTTTGCCGAGCTTGAGGTACCTTCTGTAGAGCGAGAATAAACTTAGATTTACAGGAGCGAATCATCAATCACTCTTCATTACTGTAGGATCACGGTATGAGCTCTCAGCATACAGCATTACTGCGAAATAAGCCTTTTAATGAAATAATTTCAAAAAAAAAATCTAAACATTTGTGTAGCAAGGTTATCAGGCGTGCTGATTTCACTGCATAACTTTCCACCAGTTTTTCAAGCTTTCTAGACGACGTCATTTTTGACGAACATTGGAAAATCATTTGTTACCCTCAATTTGAAATAAGCAACGAAAGAAACAGTGTAGTGAAGTGCAGTTTTCATATTTGGAATCAGCGACGTCGATCAATCCAGTTCAAAAGTTTCTGACTTGTTTGGCTTCTTTCTGAGGGGAAATACCGCTTTCCATGGCTCAAAATCCTCCTCGAAATTTCTACCCTAATCCTACAGTAATGAAGAGAGGTTGGTAAGTCGCTCCATACTGTAAATCTAAGTTGAACCTAGCTCTAAAGAATGGTACCTCATGCTCGGCAAAAGACATGAAAGCAGGAGAGTTACTAACAATCAAACAGTGTGCACATCTTTTTGGGACACCCTTATATTCGCTCACGGTAGATTAGTTACTGTGCAGTGATTAAGCATCCTGAGTAATCCACGACAAAATCTGAAAGACTTTGCAAAATCTGGCTGCTTACCGTGTACGAACCGTTCCAAACAGCTGTCTATATATATCTAAAGATCGTAGATCGTCGATTGAATCGACTTTGCTATTGGATTGAGATTTCGCCCACTCTGAGCCCGATATGGCCACGCTACGGTGATGCCATCTAATTTAGGTATTTAGGTCGCCGTCCCGTCCTTTCTGCATAAAGTATGAACGATCCACTAATTATTGACCGTGTAGTCAGTGGAAGATCTGCTCTACGGCTTTTCTATTAGTGACGCGCAAAAGAGTTTTATTTTTTTCAAGAAATGAAGCATGCTACATTATTTTCTGAAGAAACCTATTATCGAGAAGAGATCTGGGCTGACCAGATGCATAATGTCGGACAGTCACGCACATCTCCGAGGAAATAGATCTCCAAAAAAGCTTTGGAAATCATTGCCGCAGCAATTTCAGTTAATCGATAGCACATCATCAACTGGTCCTTTAGAAGGATTAGAAGGATATTTACGCTCGCCCAACTAGCGCTATAAAATTGACGGATACTTATGCTATAAATCCATTGAAGTACACACCTCAGACAAGCCTTCCAAAATATCTTTTATAGGAGTGGAGATGGCTAGAACATGCCTGCACATTCTCAAGCAGGAGTTTGATAAAGATGGTCGGCCATCTCATCGTCTGTGATCTACAGATGAAATCATACTCGCGAATTTCTTCCCGTTACGCTTGCTCCTCTAACCCTAAGCGAAATCTCAACAATTTTCAATGATTTTTCCATGAAAAAATGGAGAGAATTCGCACAATTCACAAGAAAACGTGCTCCCCATTAGAGCTCTTGCCATGTTCTGGTCTCCAAATCCACTAAATTTCGCAAATTCTTCTCAATGAACGTTCCTGATAGTCAAAGATTTAGCAAATTGTGAGCAACGAGGAATTTGCTCCTCGTCCACATTTGTTTACATATCTTCACATGGTGCGCTTAATTTTTAGGTTACTCCCTCTTTCGTTTCTCTCAGCATTTTCCAAATTTATCTAGAATGAACTACCTGGAAGAACTGAAGATGCATTTGAATGAGGAGGCTTTGCGCGTACTATCCGTATTCAGGCGCTTTCAAAGTTGTTTCATGCAAAACATATCGTAACCGCTCACAATTTAGTATTATATATTTCGAATTTATTGTAATTGGGCAACAAATATGGTGGAACAATAGTACATTTTTCTCATCGCAGAAAGGTTAAAACTTGTAAATTTTCTGCCTGAGAATCAACAGAGCAAAACTTTTCAAGAAAGTCATCAGAACATTGAAAAGAAAGACCAGCAAATCAAAGTTTGCCTTAATTTGCCGCGCAAAGCGCGAGCTCACTCTATTAGGAAAATTACTCCGTTTGCTGATTTCGCAGAACCAGTATGAAACCGAAAATCAGAAAAGTTCAAGCAAAAATGCAGTTGACTCACTGAAAATTTTTTCCCTTAAGCGCTGGCCAAAGTGTCTGCTTTTGGAATTAGCTGTTGGAAAGGTGAAGGGGTGTACCGAACGCTTTTCAAATTTCCACTCCTATGCTGCAAGAGTGCGCATCTTATCGTGGTCAAGAAAAATTCCGGATGACTTAATATAGAGACCGAAATCTATATAGGCCAAATTTCTTGTGTTGTTGACTTTCCACATACTACTACAAGGAGATGACTATGTAAGTCCTCATTAAACTTGTATAATCAGATTGGCGCAACTACTTTTTACTAACACTGATGTAGTGCGCCAATTCTTGCAGTATTGAATTTCTCCAACAAAGGGGTCCGTTGCTTCTCATTTCAAATTGTTCTCTCGACCAGATGTGCCAGATGTTTTCGTTTTCTTAAATGTCATGACTAGAATTCGAACGCCTCTTGTTGCAGACAGCCATGGAGACAAGAAGTAACTATAGATTCAGTCAAAGCTATAAAGATAGAATCAAATGGAACAGTGCGATCTTAGGCCGTCATTCGGATTGTAATTTCGCGATCACCAGAATCTCATTGCTCATAGCTACAAGAGTCTGCGAACTAACAGCTATAAGAGCGAATAGTAAAAAATAAGAAAGGTTTTCCGGGCCCGAAAAATATGTAAAGCTGGTGTTTTTAAGAACTTGTTCTTATGTTTCTCCTCACTTTCAGCTTTAGTGCACAATGCAGAAAAGAGGTGATTACCACATCAAAATCCTTAGAACAGAATCACACCATCGCTAGAATGAATTTTAGAGGCGAATTAGCGGAAATTACTTCAGTAGCAAAATAAGATTCTCAGATGAGTTTAGAAGGCTTGATAACCTCTATAGACTGAAATAGAATTTCGGGCTATAAAATTAGGCCCAGAAAAAATGTGATTGCGTAATGCCATCGCTTTCTGGCAACCCAAGCATATTAATATTGCATATTCATATCGCATCCTTTGAAGCCTTTTGGAAGGTAACAGTTTTTCAGTTCTGATGCTAGCATCAGAATTGAAAACTAATCTACTTTAATTAGGAATTTATTGGTTAGTAATGACCTTGAGTCGTTGCTAAATGTAAAAATTTGCAGTAACATATTCGTACCACTGCGCTTCATGCTATCGAGACGTGTTCAACGTAGAGCCCGACTACACGACTCGAGTTTTTAGACGTTCCAATTCCTAGCCGCTGTTCATGAAATGGAATTACAGGGGGATAAGTTTTGGGGAAAGTGGAGTACTCTTTGATAGACTTCACTATCATAGGCTAAGCCTTATTCTTCGACGAAAAAGAGAATAAAAATCTCAACTTTTTTGACAAAACCCGACTCGCAAGCATCGAAGATTTCATCAACTTGTGTCACTCATTTTTAGCACAGTCATGCTTAGCATCACGTCCTAGACAACTCTGCGACGTTTCCTTTACAATTGTAAGAAGATAGAAAAATTGAAAATAAGCGGCGATACCCTCAGGATAATACATACAAGAAGTCATTATACCGTAACTCCATTTTTTACGCTTCATGCTCATGTACCAGGGTGATGTTAATCATTATGTCAGGAAGTCAAGCAAGAGAGAACTCAGAAGATGTATAGGCAAAGAGAAATACAGATACCTAAGGGCACCAAGATTGTGCCCCTTGTTGCTCCCCTTTACAGCTCAGCGTCGAACTTGAGCACCATATACCGCGGCCATCTTTCTACACAAGAGAGAGATCCATTCGGGGAAGAGGGTGGGTGGGGGGGGGGAGAAAGGGGGAAGAGTTCAGCCTGAAGGGAGGTTTGGGACCACCTCAAGGGGTGACCACGCTTATACGTGCCTTTCCACTTCACATAGCTGGTCGCTTATCCGAAGAGGAGGGCGATCACTATTACGGCAACAAAAGCAACCTCATACTAGCCTCTCTGCCGAAATCTGCCTTCGAAAATATGGTAGCTATGCGAGCAGCTTTTAAATTCGATGGATGCTGCTCAAAAAGACCGTTAGTTGTTGTATCCTTAAGGAACAAGCAATTTGCAGGGGGCATGCTTGTTCCTTGTTCCTTAAGGGCCGGGTTTACAACACGCGATCTCATTGGCCCGTAGTAAGCCCCCCCCCCCCCCATCCGGGCATCTCTCTCGACGCGGACCGGAGTTGAGGTCATCGCGCTTCAGTCCAGCATCCAGTGAGCTATTGATTTGGATGTGGATCGCTTCCTAGACATGATAACCACATGTGTTCTCAAAAAACCAATCACTTGAGCTGGTCTGGTCAAACGGATAAGCGATTGGAATCACACGGGCGCGGTCGTGGTTCGACACCGGCTAGCGCCACAACTTTTGCTGTATCGCCGCACAATCTTTGATAGTGGCCATTGTCGAAAAAAATCGATGATGACCGCTAACAAGGATATCACTTAGCAAATGGACAGATAAAACAAAACTGACATATTTTGACGGAGAATTCATGAAAAACTGAAATTTTTGGAACATAAATAAAACGTAATAAATAAGTAGATTCTCTTCTAAAGTAGTTTTTACAAGAAACTAAGATTGCTCTGCAAAAAAAAGAAGAAAACTTTTATCCTTGCTTTTGTCGCCAAAATCAGCTGTTCATCGATCCTTCCCTTTTTGGGCGCCGGTATTGTGCAGTTTTGCGCCGATTTTTTCTGCATTTTTTGGCAAAGTTGTGTGTATCGTAAGTTACTCAGGAGCAACTTATGTTAGATGCAGTCACCTCTTGTCTGCGTCTCCTCTTCTACACACTATTTGGATCACTCTAACATCCGTTCACGTTGAGGTGACTTGAACGTGAACTGATGTGGAAGAGTTGACTGCGGCAGGTGGACAGATGGTCAACTATCAGTTGACTTGACCATCTTATAGCATGGGAACGTCGACGGTGATCAGTTCACCTCACCTAAGGTGAACTGATGGGATAAGTTGAGTTCACCTCAACTGATCGAGCTTTACTACGGGCCATTGTCTCGCGATTCTTTCAATACGATAACTGTTACGAGTCCGCATGCCGATCAACTTGCATTTCGATTGTCATAGTTTTCCGACTTCACTAATCGCGAATAACCATCACAACCGAAATGTAAGATGATCGGCATGCAATGACTGGTAACAGCTGTCTCGCTGGAAGAATCGCGAGGCGATAAGATCGCGAGAAGTATGCGGCCCTTTAGGCTAGGAGCTTCATAAAACAAAAAAACTTCTCCTTGATTGATTATTTCAAAAGAAATGGTTACACGATGGCTAACGTTTCAGTAAACATGGCAGCTCAGATTTTCCAAGTGCAGATCAGCAAATTCGTGAAATAAAACCCAAAGCGAATTATGGTTGACTATTTTGGGATATCTCGCCTCTTTGAGGCCCACGTTCCATTGCAGAATTACTTGAACGACACATTCTTGCAAATCAGCCGGCCTATGGATGTATCGTGTTGAATGTCTCAAACCAAATATAGTTTATGTGATCTCAATTCGCTTTTTGGTTTGCGACTAAATGATCAGATTTGAGCATCTAGCAGTTTTCAGTTGTTCGCTGCATTGAAGAGTGAAAGCAGCGTGATGAATATCTCATAGATATCTATAAAGAGCATCAGCGCAGCAAATATATATTCTTCCGGTGAAATTTCATAGCGTTTTCCTCCAATTATCATCTAAAATCCAATGATGCCCGGGATCTACTTCTCTTAATTGGCATACCTGTGTGTCTATTGCTAACCAGACCATAAACAAAACACAGACAATTGCTGAGAATATAACGTGCAAAGCCTAAACAATACTGCTTTGGTACGAATTTTGATTTGATTTTGTTCAACTATGTTGACCCAAAAGTACTTCACAGCTTTATTCGAATATTCTAACCTTACCTTACGCATAGACCTATTTCCAACTATTGTGAAATGGCTGTTTAAGAATTCTGCAGTACTCAAAAACTTATTAAGGACAATTATTAAGCAAAGGTAAAAGAAGGCATTCACTGCACTTCAGTTTCTGAGCTGGGGAGTCTGAGATTCCAGCGCAGAATCAACACTGAGAATCTATTAGTACGTTCACTACAGTGTGTATTATTGTCTGCTTACTTTACCGCGAACTGTTTATGTACGTCTTGTGAGCTTCTATTTTATCTAATCAAAATGGTACAAAATCAATGCGCATTCCTTATGCGGCCGAGGTAGAGAATGGAAAAACAAAAAAAAACATATCATTTGAAGGAGCCCAGCAAGCCCTACAAGATAGCTTTCAAAAGATTGCAGAAGATTTGATCTACATGAAGTTAGAAGAATCCAGAATTTTCTTGAATACTATAACAGAACTTACAAAGGAAGCTACCTAACTTAGCTCGTCCTTTTGGCAATGCATATATATTCTGCATCTGCTTAAAACGCTGATTCCGCATATGCTATTCCTAGCTGCCAAGCACCAATCCGAAGCGAGTTATGAGCTTTTTCCTGCGCAAAATTGTCATGCTCATCGACTCACGGGCATCCCGTCATCATCATTTAAGTGCTGATACACCTGCGTTAAGCTTTTTTTAGTGAGAAAGATTGGATTTGTACTATTTCGATACATCAGCACCTTTTTCTTGCAGATTTCTATCTACAGGCAGTCTTCTCATGTTCAGTAGTATGCCAATTTTGCGCAGGAAAAAGCCCATAACTCGCTTTAGAATGGTGCTTGGCAGCTAGGGATAGCATATTTGGAATCAGCGTTTTAAGCTGGTTCGGAACGTATATGCCTTTTACCAAAAGGCCGAGCTAAGTTAGGTAGCTTTCCTTATTAGTTCAAAATCGTGCGAATGTCACGAGTATACTGTCCACATTAGACGAAAATGTCACGAGCAAATGCTAAGCGAAATTGATATAGAAGGCGCAGATATGAAAGATAGATTGTTTTGGTATAAGGTGCCGGCGCAGGAGATGAAGGTAGATTTAAATTCAGCTCAACAAGACGAATGTGATGATATGCATTTTTTTAGAGCCGTAGGCTTGGAATCCTTCAATAGAATTGACATCTACAAAACCAACAGTAGCTTTACCAGAAGTCGTGAAGCAACTCTTTCTTCACAATTTCGCAAACAGCGAATAAAGCTCTGGATGCTTTGTCCCGTGGGCAGCACCCAGCTGTTAGGTTGACAATTAAGTTTTGCAGCTTCTTCCACAACGTTTTCTTTTCAAGTATGGCTCACCCCTCCTTTAAAATTACATTAATAAGTGTGTGTGTGTTTGTTAAATGCGGAAGTTGCTTGCTAAATTTTGTCATCGCTTATAAGGTGAGTATATTAGGTGAGTATATTCACGGAAATTTATAGAGTCCAAAATACAAAAAGTCACAGATACGGGCTCAGCAGCCAACCGCTAGCTACATCTTGATTACAGTGTCAAGAGATGTGTTTGATTCAGGTTGTGCACGTCTTCATTTTTTCTAAAAACCGTAAAACTTCGAAATTAACCGGTTCTTCGAAAGATGCACAGAGTTTTTTTTATTCCGTTGACGAAATTCGACCAGTTTGTCCATAATTGTGATTACTTTGTGTCCTACATAATGCCATTTAGAGTGCACCTTATTCAAGAGGGAACGATGGGGAGAGGAGATACTTGAGAAGGTAAGGAAACGAAACGTTTCCTCCTAACATTTGTTGAGATGTCAAACTGTTAAAGGCGTTCAAAGGTTAAGGGGATGCCAAAAGTAGAAATTGATTACCACTCTCCTTAGCCAAACCTCAACGATTTGCTTTGACATTCTTTAATATGCTATAACAAAATGCTCAATACTCTTTGAGTGAGTGTGAAGATCTTCGATCCCACTGCTTTTAGCTTTCGGATTTTTATTCGCCTCTCCATATTACAATCTTTGGAGCATGTCCTGATTCCGTTTTTATATACAGTATCAGTTCATATGATCATGTGTGTCACTGCACCCACTGATTCTACTAACAAGCAGTCCTTCTGCTAAGTTTTTTCGATGTTTTCTTGATGGTTTTCCTCCTTTTCAGGACCAATCTTTACAAAGGGATGTAAGCGATAACAATCGGTTGGTCTCTTGCGTTTTTGCGATTGTTATTCCAGGATGGGGATGCCATGGACAGTGTGTGCAGTGACATACATGATCGTATGAAATGATTCGACTGTACACGCTGTTGGCCTACTCCTTTGAAGCCAATTATGTTTCTATATTGTTGAAGAAAACGTTGCGAAGGTGCTGACAATCTAAACCGACAGTGCTAAGCATTTTTTGGTGGATAAACAGATCCTCAAAGACGACAAACTCCTTGGACTCTCACTCGTGCGAATCGGAGATTTGATTTGGGGATCTATCATAATGTAAACATAGTTTCCAAACCACAGCTTGCAGCATTTTTCTGATATAGTCCTGATCTCGACTTGATTACTGTCCTACCAATCACTCAAATATACTGAAACATACTTTTATATATATGAAGAAGCTCATCACTGCTAGAATCAATCCAAAGATGAATACAGCGATAGTAGCAACGAAAACAATGAAAATATGGCTGAAAAGTGCTTGACTGAATGCTTGTTCCATCGTAGTACGGTACCTCGTGATATCGTATTTGGTTTGCGAAGCAAAACCAATAATTGCTATACATGCAAGTGTCGTTGTTACAAGAGCCAAGAGCACTGTATGTGGGGGCACTAATGCGCAAAGTACCATTAGCATAACCCCACAAGAAACTGTCTGAAATAGCTTTTATGAATATTAAGCTTCAATGAAAAAGTCTTGACATGTTGGTAGCTGTGGTGATAGGGTGATCTGTAAACGAATGCTCAGCAAAGGCACCATGTATGTATATTTCAAAGTTCTACAGAAGTAATGCTGTGCAAGGCCTTAACTTCACAGAAACAATGTGAATGAGCTTCAACGCAAGCTGTCATTTTAGCTAGGCACAAAACGACGTAGATGTTAAATTTCAAGGCGGATCAATCAATACCATTTGATACCGATCTTTGATGTGATGCAATCTTTCATGTCGCAGTTGCTTCAACCAATTTATGTCGATTCGCTAACCGCACGAACTGCTCAAACGCTGTGGACAGCGCGCGGCGCGGCTGAAATGTTGCGAGAGCGCGATTGGTGCAATGGCGATTTTGTACTGGAGCAAGCATTTTATCATGCGGCGCGTGCTCTGCAGTCATGTCCAGTCCTTGCTGTCAACTAATCGACGATAGCTTGAAACTCCCGAAAACTTTGGTTCAAGAAAAAACTAAGCGGCACTTGCTCTAAGCCGGCGGAAGTTGATATAGAGTGTGAACTATTTCAGGCTCTCCTTTACGCAATCCAATCAAATTTTACTCCTCATTAGATTATCATTGAACCCACGGTAGTGGCTACTTTTTGAAGTAATGGTGTTGAATTCAGATTCGGGGCAATTAGACACTCCATCCACGTGAAGCTAAATATTTGCATTGCTCGAAAGATATTTGAGGGTAGTGAACTATGACAATTACTGATATTCTGCAGAATGATGATGTCAGACGCACTGGTAGTGTGGTGGTTCAGTGGGATTCTTTTGCCCCTTTCGTGCCCCTGTCAACAATGAGGGAATTAGATGGATTTATTCAGCAACAAAATAAGCCGGTGTCTCCGGCACACGACAATGTGAAGAGTGGGGGAATATTGGCCCAGAGGAGGCTGGCCGATGAGCACAAAGAGTCAGCCATGTGGCAGCTCTTTGTGCCAGAAATGAGTAACATGATGAAATGTAAACAATGTAAACAATTTAGGACAAAGAGCTTACAAGGGAACCGTGCCGAGTCGAAGTGGCCTTTCCAGATCAGACTCATAATGTTTTGAAGAGTATTAAGCGGTGATTCCAAATCTGCCTTCCAAATCTGCCAAGCGCCTCTGGACGCCGAGTTATGCTCGTTTTTCAGGTCAAAAAATTGAACGCAAAACTGAAGCAAAATCGCCCAAATTTGCTCAAATAATCCAGTGTCAACTATCAGAGCTGTTTATGCAATGGATACGTTTTAATTAATATGCTAATACTTAACATTGCTTTATCTGAGCGCTGGATTGTAACAATCAATTTTACCTAATTCTCCATTCATTTTTCGTTGCGAAGAACGGTCATAACCCGGCGTCCAGAGGCGCTTGGCAGATTTGGAAGGCAGATTTGGAGTCACCGCTTAATACTCTTCAAAGCATTATGGGTCTGATCTGGAAAGGCCACTTCGACTCGGCACGGTTCCCTTGTTAGTTCGGGTCGTGTCTTTATCACGACAGGTAGTTACCTCAAAAGCAATGCTATGGAAGTTTTCACAGCATTTTCCAAAGAAGAAACTTTTGGGTGATGCTTGAGCTTGATGCACAATCATCTGTTTTGTTCAATGCTATAGTTGTAACTCACGAATAATGCAAGGAGACATAAGTTGAGAGGAAAGGATCGCGCTACTCCTTGACAACAGACCAGAATGATGTAGCTGCAGAAGAACAACACTCTGAAATTTTTTATATGAATCATGGGACAGAAATCTTAGTGCGCTCACGATTCTGATTATTTTTAAAATATTAGGTTGTTGCATAAGTTCGTAGTGTTTTTAGAGACCAACAAAAATCATCATTATTGTAAAAACCAATCAACAAATGATAATCTGATATAGCAAGATTTGGGGAGTAGTTTGGGTACGGAAGTGCCTTCTAGTCAGATCATGGGGTCATGCTTTGCCGTACCGAAAAATCTTTGGAATGACCTCGTTTTGGCGGTGGAGTTTCGTTGCATACGGTACGATCAACACTCTTCTTCTTGTCCAGCAATTTTCAGTGCAAGACCTCCTGCCCATCTCTCGAAAAGTCTTGTTCAGGGACACATTGCTTAATTCTTCGTCTTTCAATGCAAGCTAATTTCCTTTTGTCTATATCGACGAGCGAACCCCATTTTCCATAATGGCTAACATACTGTGCAAAAAACGCTGGCATTTTATACGCAAAGGTCATGAGATGTCGTGCATGCATCTTTTTGCGTTTTGTTTCATCTTTGGTAGCTAGAATATCGGAGTAGATTGGTTTTCAATCTAAATCAGCTAGTATGATTTAAATAGCATGATCAGCCTTTCCAATGATATACACATCCTCCTGCAAATCAACCGCTTCCCAAAGAACTGAGGAAGAAACTGAAAACGCCACGAACTTATGGAATGACCTAATAAATCAGACTGCGTTTACTCAAGCCTTGTTAACCCTGTTTAGGTAACAGTATGTAAGCTTGTATAAATCTTGAAAGAGATTCAAAGAACAAACAATGCAATCATATAAACCCATCGGTTTTCGATCATGAACATTCTTATGTCATCCTGCACCACTGCAGGAGTCACCATGACAATCACCACGAGTATCTGTAATGATAGCTGCTCAACCTCGCTCGGAAACGGCAAAATATTTTTTGAGTATGCGGTTTACAAGAAAGCCAGATAAACTTACTTAAGGATTTGATACTTTTAAAGGGCGTCGATAAGTAAAAACTCCTAACCAACGTAGGGATCTAGGATTTAAACTCAAGATTTTTTATCATGACTTATAATAACGGGCTAAGGTTGTTTACGTGTTTTTGTGTGTGTGTATGTCTGTGTGTCTGTCTGTAACGAAATTCGTAGAGCGAGTTCCAGCCAACGTCCTGAGCCCAAATTTTGCACATCGCATGCGACCCACATAAGAGCCTACCGTTCAAAAGCACAAGTAGTTTTGTTGGATGGATCCCTTAGAAAATGCGCGTCAAAAGGACCAACTTGGGTTCTGGCCAGCAAAATTGGTTCCCTATCACCACTTTTTGCAAAGTCGGAGATGTGTTTGGCATGCTGATGTGCAAGCCATGAATTTAGTCCAAAAAAGTGGACAAAAGTTTATACGAGAACGACGCCAAAAAGAAATGGTTGCGTAAATGGTTAATTTGCCATGGTTTTACCTGAGCATTCGAGAAGAATTTTGCACAGAGATGTAGCTCACGTTGCCTACTGTCCTTATGGCAGCTATCAAGCCAGAAAGAGTCCAAAAACCTATTCAAATTTGTATTTGTTCTTCTGCGAAAAGTTTCATCCACGCGAAAACACCGATCTTACATGAAAAAGCAATTGGGATGGATAGTTGTTTACATTTTACTCGCGATAATCGGCACTGCGCGGTGAGTTTCATTGCCATTATTAGTCAAGAATGAGTAAGGCGTATGAAGTAAGACCAGTGCGAGCCTCTGCGAAGCAGAGGTGACGCACTGGTATTTAATAAGCTAAGGTTTGCAACATGCCTTTCGTAACCCCCTTTGAAATATGACGTATTGAAATGAAGCATTGTGATGTCTACAGACGCCGCGATTCCAATGCCAACTTCTGATTCGCATTGAGGGTTACGGTAGGTATATTGTATGAGGGGAAGAAAATTAATCAAGACAAGTTTGCCCGATAGGCCTGTAGGAGTTGTGCGGCGAATTGTGAAAATGATCTAAACATGGTAGGATCTTGAGACTATGGTAATCCCAAGGTATGGGAATTGGGGCATTACTTCGATGAAGGAACGTGATATTCGTAATCGGCTGGCATAATCAATTAATCCCAATGTAAAAAGTCTCGGCAAAATCTGGGATTCCGACTCTTTAGTTATTTACGAAGCCCGCAGCTGCCTTGCGAACAGCGGTTTGTTCAACATCAGAGAATTCATGAATTTTCCTTTGGTGTCAGAAAAGGCAGCCTGAGCAAATTGCAGCTTTAATCATAATCCACAAAATGCCAAAATGAGGTGCCACAATCGCAAAGCGAAAGACTTAGGGCCGCATGCATTAACATTTCCGCTGGGGAGGGGATCGCAGCTTCAGAAGAAAGCTTCATATCCTGAAGCTCCGGATATCTGGATTTCACGCTGTCTACCTGTCCGTAAGTACTCCCACCATCCTTCACTATGAACATATTGAGCAGAAGCGAGAAGCTGTACAAGCCGCATTTCCCAGCTTTTTGTAGGATCCCCTGATGATCCCTGGGGGACGAACATCTATTCTTCAAAGTCATTTTTCTTTCTCCGAAGTTAACGAAAACCTTCCGAAGTTATACTGAACATCTAACACAACAGTGCTAAGCATGTTGCTGATGAGAACAAATGAATTTTTGAAAAATCGAATTTTTTCGGTATACCCCAAATTTCGACCTGTGGATCATCGAAAATTTCATGACTTCAAAACATCATTTGTTCTTATAAGCAACATGCTTAGCATTGTTGGGTTAGATAATATGCACAACCTTGGAAATTTTTCGTTAACTTCGGAGAAAGAAAAATGACTTTAAAGAAAAGCGCCGGGGATCATTAGGGATCATACAAAAGCTGGAAAATGCGATTTGTACATGTTCTCGCTCCTGTTAAAAACATGTTCATAATGAAGGATAGAAGGAATACTTACGGATAGGTACTCAACGTGAAATCCAAGTATCTGGAGTTTTGAAATATGAAGCTTTCTTTTGAGCTGCGATCCACTCTCCGCGGCCATGTTAGTGCATGCGGCCCTTAGAATGATATTTTCCATCCTAATAAAAATGCTCCGAGGTTGTCGGACTTCGCGTTTTGTTTTCGCATGTATTCTAACAATTTAATGAAGAAACCTTCAAAGGCAGATGCTGAGTGTGCGACGTGGATCACCTGCTCACCAACGCATTGTATCACTGCATCTTCCCCGCATGAAAATAAGCTCTACTGCCTACTTTTCAGCAAACCTTCAAGGGGGGAGTGGCAACTAGTAGAAATTTATGGTCCAATTTTGGCTATTCGCTCTAGAACTTTCTTAAGGGCGATAGCATGGGAGTAGGTTGAAGAAGTGAAAGACAATGAAATCTTTTTGCAAATCTAACTAGCATATATCCACTTCATATCTCGAAGTAAATTTTCATTAGTGACTTTCACGAAGTATCTCAATCTTCAAATCATACACAGGGCTGCATAAAAAATTGAAAGTTTACAACAAAAAAAAAACCAATCATCGCACTTCATTGGGCGGGAAAATTGGCTCCAAAAGCTTTTCTTCTACATCAAGAACTGACCAAATGAAAGAGATGAAAAGAAGTCTGGAGAAATTTCAGTAAGAATTAGCATGTGGGAATGCTACTGCCAGATAATCAAAGGCGATCCAACTGTCGATATTGGTCCACTAGATTCCGCAAACCCAACGATCTAACCTCGGGTACACTTGCCAGCTCCAGAATAATACAGGGTGTCCCAAAAGTACGTATACACTGTTTGATCATTAGTATCCCTTCTCTCAAGAAGTCTTTTGCCCACTTTCAAGTAGCGTTTTGTAAAGCTGGCTTCAGCTCAAATTTACAGTATGGAGCGAATCGAGGATTTTCCTTCATAACGGTAGGATTACTGTACGAAATTAAAAAAGGTGTTTAAGCCATTAAGGGTTATATTTCGCCTCATAGAGCAAACCAAGCAACTTGACAACTCTTACACTGGGCTAGTTAGAGCCGCTGAAACTAAATATGAACTTTGCTTTTTACCACAGTGCCTCCTTCATAAGTTATGACAGGTGAACCGCAATAGCTGTTTTTACAATGTTAGCTAAAATCGTGATTACACCATTTAAAAAGCTTTGTGAGCTCGTAAAAAAATTAAATTACGAAATCAGAGCGCGTGAAGACCCTAATAACCACTTTTCAGATTATTTGGGAACTTTTTCCGAAAACGCTTAATCCGCAATGGCGCTGTAAGCTGGAGGTTCCTACCGTGATCTTACAGTAGTGAAGAGCGACCGGTGTTCCGCTCCATACTGTAAATCTAAGTTGAAGCCAGCTCTACAAAACGGTACCTGAAAGTAGGCAAAAGACTTCTTTGGAAAAGAGATATCAATGATCAAACAGTGTATACTTACTTTCGGGACACCCTGTAGATAGGATCAAGCATAAGGAATTGAGTTACCGAGGAAGAAAAACACATGAAACTAGTGAGTCGAGATGAAGTGTGATCGTGCTCCACGATCGGTTAGCACATTGACGACCGCTTGACACACATGGTGTGTAAATTATCTTTAGAGGGTTTTCCTTCAAAGAGTTTTCCTTTTTGAGAGTTTTTTTGCACTGTATGCGGAAACAACCTCAATCTTTTTTTCTCAACCTTTCATAGCTACGTAAGTATATTGTAGATGGCTTTATGCCTAAATTACTTTGAAAAATATTGACTGGTCCGTGAAAGGTCTCGGTCCCAAAAAGTAGACAGTAAAAAATTTGCATGATCGTCAATGTGTTCGAAGAATAATTTCGGTGAAAAAGGAACGATCTCTATCTTGACAGAATACAAACATGGAGTAAACTTAGCAGACTAAAAAGCAACTCAAAGACTGCTACTCGGCTTAGCTGCCCACCCTTCGAAACTGTAGTGTAGTGAAGTAGTGTCACGAACGCATTTGGGACTGGAGAGCCTTCGGAATAGATAGTTCCAGAATTCGATTGTTACAACACAAATTTTTCAATAAATGGACGTTTACGCTTTGGAAAAATGAATATTCAATATTTTAGGTGCAACCTTGGTGAGTTCAAAACGGACTACTTCCATGCTTGCGGAATAGAGAGGGAACCTATGCACAGGCTGACGCACGGTAGCTGGCTAGTTGATGTTCTATGAGGTTGGGCATAACCAAGTTTGCAATTTGGAACTAACGAAAGTCGGACTGGTCCAAAGAATCTTAAATAATTCGAGTTATTCAATAACTACTAATATAGTAATGCTAAAGTCATATATAATTGAAAATACAAGATCTGCGCTCAACAAGTGATTCAGCTTCATCTTGTCTTTGCCTAGTGGAGAACGAAACGCATATCCATACATCACTGCTGTGGGCCTCAACCTCGCCACAAAGAGCAAAAACATAAAATTTGTGAAATATCAATCTACAGGGAAAGTCCTTTTTCTTATAACTGCGCTCCATCTGCAAAAAAACAAAGCGGTCCCTACAAAATTACATTGCTTTGAGTTAGATTACTACGTAAAATTTTCCTTCTCGGGCTGGACTGGCCATTTGTTCTAACGATTCAGACCCTTCTATAAACCCAAGATAAACCAGAGTTGAAGAGCTTTTTTAGATAAATCACTTGCTCACTAACTTTGCGTACAGCAGCGCAACTTCAGGAGATGCGCATGCTCTGCCCCTCTACTATGAAGCGTTACTCAAAGGTGGATGAAAGAGGGTCGGCAGCGTTTCGCCAAATTGGTGGACATCACCTACACGAGTGCCTATTGCATTGCTGCTTCTCTGTTGTTGATCGAAACAAAAAGCTTCGAAATGTGCAGAAATAAGCTGTCCCATTACTTTCTATTCTCTTTCTAGTCTTATATTTACATGTCGTAGCTCCAAAGAAAGTAAATTTTGTTCAAACAAACTGTCTGTAACTTGATTCATTACTCTCTGTTACAATTCCAACTAAGATAATAACGCTGAGCTATCCTTGTTCAACTGCAGCTCACTTCTTCAGATATAGGATTCACTTATCAAGACAGAGCCAGGTTTTTTTTTGACAGACAAAAACCTCACCATAGCTGTTACAATAGAAAATACTTTACGAACAAATGCAGCCCTGACTGATTTGCTGTCGAAGGCAAATTGTGAAACTTGTCGTTCAATGTCCTAAATCCGCTAATCACAAAAGCGTTGGTCTTCCTTACAAAGCTGTTATTGAACATTGCTTACATAAGAGCCATGTCCTTTTGAGTAATGCTCTCCATAACCTCTAGCTTCATCAGGTTCCCTGGATCTTGTGTACTGGAATCAAAAAAGTTCTGTATGAAGCGATAATTATTCAACGGAATGGAAACATCCACAGATCTATAGCCTAATACTGACAAAAAATTGCCGTCATACTTACAATCTTTGTAAGGTCACAATTTTTATTATGACTAACTAGACGGTGTTTTTAATTAGAGACAATTAGCTTCTAACTTAATTCAGACGTCGTAGACCCTGACATTTCAACTTCATGCATTTGGAACTTGACACTAGCAAGCTACTGCGTAGTGTACATCTTACAAGGTGGAAGAGCCTCATTTGCGTATATCGAAATTGCACTCATGTACTTGAGTATATGGAATAAAAGTTATTGCCGGCTAAATCCCGTAGGGTGCGCCTGAGACTTCAGCAGCCGGCTTAGGACAGTTCTACCCCGTGTATTCTATAAGGTTATTAAATCAGCCTTCAACTGTATGACATGTTCAAGACATGGGCAATGGAATCAAGTGAATGTTCACAATCAAGCAAAGTAAAGTCATGCTCCGCAGATTTACTTTGCGCACCACTTTTATGCCCAATAAGAAATGAGATTCTAAATGCAACGCACAAGCTGTCCAATTTGCAAAAAATTTCGTTGCAGGTGCGCCAAGACGCTAAAAATAGCACTTCGAAGATACATTGCAAGCACATGCTGCTGTGGATATGTGTGTACGCTGTCCAAGGATAGCGTATACACGGTAATATGTTATGAAGTGGGCAATGCAAATCAAACGTTTCCCAAAGCTTCTCTGAAATACGCAGATTATCGATGATATGCTCTAGAACTACCAAACAACCTTCTAGGAGGCAACTTCAGCTCTAATTTCTTCCACCTGACCTTCGAACTAAATTGGCTGCACAAAGCGATAGGTGTATATTCTCCCATAGCAAGTGTTGAACCTACAGATCTTTATTACTACAAGCTGCCCGAGCGCTTAACCTTTACCCACCACCTCAAGGCTGCCGACAAGGAAGACGCAGAAGTGGCGAAATCGGAAGAATTTACACAGCGTTACCAAAAAATGTGGTAAGACTGTCTGCGTCTTCTGCTACTACACTATAGAAAAACATGCTTTGGAGACCTGCGTACAGCGGAGGAGCGAATTCATCCCAAATTATTAGACGCTGCTAAAGCATACGGTTTGTGATAGTGACAGCCACTACAGAGAAAGTCTGCAAGAGGCGATGCATTTCCAGACCCCACTTCGTTACGCAACTTCTTTGCTTGCCTACTCTGTAACCGTGAGGTTGCCAAGAATATGAAACGACTTCGCTCCAGCAATGTCTGAAGATTATGCGCATGAAGAACTTGATGATCAAGAAGCTATTGAGATCGCTTACTGTGATGTAACAGACAAAAGGTGGTTATGGACAAAGCCTTGCAGCAAATTATCGTGGCGTCCGCCAATGAATGTCGCTTATGCGCAACGCTGGCCAAAAAAGCGGTTACCACGCTACAACTTAGCGATGGGGCAGCAACGTCAAGTCCTCTGTGTAGCGTGAACAGGTATCGCTCAAATTTGCTCCCTGGAGACAGGATTGTAAATTTAGATACAAACTAATTGTGACAAACGGAAATCGCTCTTCAATCATGAGTCAACGACCTGAGAAAGCCCGCCAACCTATGAGCACCAATGTGATGTCTGTAATGAGACATCTATAGCCTTAAACGTGCTCTTGAAGCTGTAGTTGCACTGCTATGGAATGTAATGCAAACCGATAGGCCATTTGGGGGAAAGTTGCTTAATATAGGTGGTGACCGGCAGATGCTGCCAGTATCGAACACGGACATAGAGAGGAGGTCTTTGGTTTGGTTGGTGTTACTCGACCGGTACTATGGCCGCTCTTCAAAGGGTATCGTTCAGGGGCTAAATGACCAGAGATGCGAGCCACAACTAGCACAAGTTCTTGCTTTATGTAAAAAAACGGACGAGCTAACAATGGCGAAAGGAGAGTCAATTTGCAAAGTGACTTCCTATGCTCGAAAATTTAGTCACAGAAGTTTCCGGTGATTTGATAAAATTCAAGATAAGGAAGGGTTATACAAGAGAGCACTTTTCGCTCCCAAAAACTCATACTTAAAGAGGCTGAATGAGGAAGCAATGAAATGACTGGTTAGGAATGCACAGAATGAGCGCATACATAGGGTGCGGGCGAAGCAATTCTTGTAGAAATTGCTTTTGGAAAAATGTTTCCGATGGAATACTTGAACACATTCGAGGCTTCGGGAATATCCTTGCATGAGCTGCAATTGAAGAAGGGGTTCGTAGTGATTATGCTCCGCAATCTGGACGTTCTCAATAACCCGTGCAACGGAACGCGTATGAGGATCGAGATATTGGTACGTTGCGTCCTATGCCGTTTTATATGCAATAAATATGAAGACAAATTTGCAATCATCCCCAGAATAGATAATAATTGGGACAGAGATGTTCCTCTTCAACTAAAGCGACGACAATTCCTGTATGCGTTGCTTTCGCAATGAGCATAAGTCGCAAGGACAAATCTTCGACAAAGTAGGTGTGTATCTCAGGGGACGTATTCAGTCATGGTCAACATTATGTAGCCTTCTCACCTATGCGCTCTCCAACTGATTTGAAGTTGAGCTGTCCAGGCAGATCGGTGAAAAATGTTATATACGACGAAATTCTACTATAGATCACGCTTCAAAGTAACCATCAGCTTCATATATTCAAAAAAATCTAAGAATTTTTTTATAGTAAGAATTTAGTGAAAACCGGTTGATACTGAAATATCAAAAACGAAGTTCTTTATTTCGACCTTGGTCTAAAGAATGTCAACCTTGGCCAACCTCAAAAACTGAAGTTCGAAATGTATAAGCACAAAAGTCCGCAAATACTGTTTGTTCTTTCTAGTCATCTGTTGCTGAATACAAGCTGATATGCCGTTTCATTCTACATAGTGCCTACCCAATACTTTGCTTCCAAAGTTGAAATCTGTTCAACTTTTTCTACCGCCATTTCACGAAGGGATCGGTCAGAGTTTGCCAGTGTTGCCAGTGTTGAAAGTGTTGAAATGTTGAAAGTGTTGCCAGTGTTGAAAGTGTTGAAATGTTGAAAGTGTTGCCAGTGTTGAAGGCGTTGCCGGTGTTGCCAGAGTGTTGAAAGTGTTGGATGTGGAAATCATCAGTCTTGCAGTTTCATTCTTCCTCGAACGATGTCACCGGCTGGTAGTACGGAATGGAAATTGGAAATAAGAGATGAGAATGAACCAAATAGGAAATGCTTTCGCATGAGGAACTCCTCATACAAACTTTTTGAAAAGTGAAGAACTTGCTTGGAAGAGGCAACCTCCAACATTTGAGAACGCTGCCTCTTATAAATAAATCTCTTAATCTCCCTTAATCTCTTCTAGGTAGGTCTTTTGCTCACTAATCGTAGAAGCGCCGGATTTATACCTCACACATCCTCATCGGACTTCAGCAGCATTTTCAAATGTTGGAGGAAACAGTCCTCTACTTTCCAAAGAAGTTCGTATTTCCGAATCATTTACTTTCATTTCTTATTTCCCATTTCCATTTCAAACGTATTCACCACCCGGTGAGATCGTTCGAGGAAGAATGAAACTGCAAGGCTTATGATTTCCACATCCAACACTTTCAACCGGCAACACCGGCAACGCTTTCAACACTGTCAACACTTTCAACACTGGCAACACTTTCAACACAGGCAACACTGGCAAACTCTGACCGATCCGGAACCTAAGCGCGTTTAAACAGAACTGGTCTTTGGAAAAGCAAAAATTAGTTAGATTCTCTCAAGAAAAAGCCTAAGAGTCCGCCGCAGCGGACGATCAGACTGGTAGAGAATATAATTTACTAGTGCATGTTATGTGCATCACTAATTCCTTTGCCTAAAGTCTCGGACAAAGTTCACGCAATTTGATCGTCGCGATCCATCGCGACAAGACAACTATAACAATATCACTGCATGCCCATCTCCTTGCATTTCGGTTGTGATAGTTTTCCATCACGATTATTCGTGACTAACTAACACAACCGAAATACAAGAAGATCGGCATGCAATGAAATTGAATCGCGACGATCAAATCGCGTGAACTCTGCCCGGGGGCACGTGGAAGGCGACAATCGGCGAAAAATGGAGGCTGTGTATCATCCGCCTCAATGAATTTCACGGATTTTTACTTGTGGCATTGAGTAGTGTATCTGCCCCCACCCCCGTAGTCCCCCGGGGTGTCACTTTGACATCGGAGAGTCTTTGATAGGCACAAAATTGGGGATTGTCGCCTTCCGCACCACACCCCTCTGCCCGAGGCTCAAAGCTGTTGCAAGCGAAGACTGCTTACTGAGGGCCCATGTGGAGGCGGGTAGGCTTGCCAGTCCTCTGGATCGCCAGGTTCCATTGATCGCTAAATCAAAATGAGAGTCAGTCATCTGTTTGTTGATAGAGTTGATAATCAATAATATAGCAGTCGCTATCAGCAAGTCAGCAACCTTTAATGATAATAAGGCAGGCGCTATACTCCTCGAGAAGTATAGCATGGCGATGGGCGATCGCCAGTCGCTACGACGGGCGATCGCCAGTCGCCAATACTGGCGACTGTGTCTTCTATGCGTATCGATCGCTAACAAGTTACCACACGTCCAATCGATACACATTTGATGTGTAGTCGCCAACACTGGCGATTGGCGATCGCCCGTCCGAAAATTAGCGACTGGCGATCGTCAATCGCCAAACAAGTCATCACACGTCAAATCGATACGTATCAAACGTGTAGTCGCCAATATCGCGGCAACTCGCGGATTGATTGTAGGCTTTGATAACTCCATATAATCTTAATTCGCATTTTTGATAGCGTAGGCAACCGCAAAACAGTTGCATCAAGCGCGTTTGAACCTGCATGCGTCAACTTTGAGCGCCGCAACACTAACCATTGAACCATGCTGTCAGTTTTCGCTGTGTGGGACAGCATGACACGAACGGACAGAAAGTCGCGCCTGTGAGAGCGCAGGATCAATACGTTGCATGATAGACATTGACCTGAAAGAACAGCTGATTGATAAGAACAAGGGACAGGCGAGCATTGCAAACAAGATTTAGAGGAATTGCAAGAAGAAGATGACGTTCTCTTTGTTATAATATTACTATTCATTTTTTTCTACAGATATGTCAAGAATTTGAACAAGAAAAAACCCATGTAATGACAAAAATGATGGTTTTTTGGTGGAAAATGAATTTTTCTGATCCTTTTGCTTGACGTAAATTGTGTGATATTGCCGCATTACTCAATTTTACAGACGCCGCCAGCAAGGTGCCACCATCTCGACATGGTAGGGGCACGTCCGGATGGTGGCACTTTGATCTCTCAAAAGAACACGCTATTTTTCGTACTCTCTGACCTGGCGGCATCTCTCAGCGCTGAAATTTCGACGAGATGCCGCCAGGTCAGCTCGCGAAGATGCCGCCAGCACTTCCTGCCTTCCTCTACAATTCTGTTTAGGAAGGTTCTTAGATCCTTCAGTTGCCAGGTAAGATGACCTCCTGGACCAGAAATACGTGTTGAAAAGGGTTGGGAGAGCACAAAATCGAGCTCGGTGTTCGCGCCGACTTCACGTAAGGTTGACGGCGACCTGATGGCGAAACATGCCGGAGGGTTGGGGAGATTAGTACCGGCCCAGAAGACTTGTCAAACCTCCAAGTTGAAGTATTGCTTTCTGAACATTTCAAATCCGCCATGTTTCGAGATTGCGCGTCTCTTTTTGGCTTATATATATTACTAATGCTTGACTCTGCTGCGCAGAGGTTCGCACTGGTTCTACTAGTTGTGTACCCTCGACATCAATCCCTAAGTTACATTTGCAAAGTGGAGTGGTGTGGTGCAGCCGCCTCGCTTTGCGCCAGCGCCACGTTGCTGGGGCATTGTTTAGACGTTATGTGGCGCTAAAAACAACGTGGCGCCACAACATGTTCAAACGTGGCAACAAGAACAACGTTTCTTCGTTGCTCCTGCTACCACGCCATGCCAACTCATGCGCTCGCAAGGTGGCGCGAGCCCAAAGCGAGGCGGCCTCACCACAACACTCCACTTTGCAAATGTAACTTAGGGATTGACGTCGAGGTACCTTTCTCTAGCATGATGAAAATTTTGAAACTCACCGAGCAATGAGCTTCACAAAACTTCAATTACTGTGCTATACTATTCTTGCATAGCTTCCACGTAAAAGCGGTAACTTAAAAAAATTCACAATCGCTAATGAACAATGCGAAAAAATGAATTACCAAAGTCATTTTGCCTTGTTAGTCGCCATGAGGACGATAGTTACCGCAGGCTGCATCTTCTAATGAGAATCAAATTTATTAGAACCTTAAATGAATCAACGTCTTAGACAATCGACGATCTACACAATCATCTCTTTTTGGCGCTATCTTCGCAAAAAGTAAACTGTTTCAGCACTTTTTGGGTTATCCATAGCTTGCAGATACACTCATCAAGCAAATTCACGACTTCGCAGGAAGTTCATTTAGCGACCTTTTGCGAGCCGTTGCTTGAACCCTTTGGCGCGCCATTTTGGAATGAGACGGAACTCAGGCAAGCGCTATACTCCTCGAGGAGTATAGCATCGCGACGATCGATGTGCATCAAATGTGTGTAAAACCGGCGATTTTTTTCGCCGATATTGGCGATCGCCAGTCGCTACGACGGGCGATCGCTCGTCTCCATGCTATACTCCTGGAAGAGTATAGCGCCTGCCTCATATCCGCGAAAGTCCATGATGGAGGAAATTGGATCTACTTAGCCCATTTTACTCGTTCGCGGTAGAAACTGGTCGAAATCGGCTCCCGCTTACGATATCCAATATTTTTCTTCTCATCGCAACCGCAAGGCAAAGCGGTAAATTGCAAGTGATACAAGCTTATTTGAGCTATTGCTCGCAAAAGTAACGTCAAAACTCATTAGAAAATGGGAAAAAATGGAGTTCACCTCCATATTCATTCTCTACCTCCTTTCTGATAGGTCCATTTTACTCCCAGCAGCCAGATTTGCTGGGAAAAAGTCCATTTCTTGAGCTTTTTGCCCGTCTTTAACTCCAATTTTTTGCGAGTGTGTTTTGGTCTATTTTAGGGTATAATAAAGGATATAACAAAGAAAAATTTTTTAGTTTTTCTGTGAGAGCTCAAAAATGAATTTTTCCAGAGGTGCATAGAACGCATGAAAACTTTCAAAAGGGTTTTGTTCGAAAGTAATTTGTATTTCCTAGCTTTTCTGTTCAAAAACAGCCCATAGAAAGTCCTCAGAGATTAAAAACGAAAAACGACTTCTCGTATTTTGTAGAGAAGAGCAAAGCTGTTTTTGATTGATTTCTTCCGTTTCCAGACGGAGTTTGCTTAAGTCTAGTTCATTCTGTAACAGCTGCATCTTCAAGTCTTCAAGTTCAACTTTCTTTGTCTTGCTAGCGCTTTCGTTCCTCGAATTCGTGGCAGGATAGTTTTCATTTTCATCAACCTCCTTGCAAGCTGCAAAAGTTTTTTCAATGATTTGCGAAAAGAAACTTTGATCTATAACCTCCGAGCCTCCTCTGATGCCACTAATGGCGTCATCGTTAATGCAGCGATCCATTATTACTTTCAACCTTGTAGGCGAACGGAACAGCTGAGCTAATTCGCCTTCAGTTTTGTTACCCTCCTTTCTCTAAATCATACTTTCAATTTCCTAAGATCACAATCCTACCCATAACCAGTGGCGCAGCGAGGGATGATGCCCTCCCTTTTCCCCCAAGAATGGGTTCCGCAAATTTTTGATATTAAATTTCATATTTAGAAAGCTAATTAGCTTGGAAAGTTTTCGATTTGTTTTGTTTCCTTTCTGAACCAAATTATGACAATCCACGGCTCAAAACCCTCTATGGAGTTCCTGCCATGATCCTACAATAATAAAGGAAGATGGGTGATTCTTTCTATATGTAAATCTAAGCTGAAGCCAACTCTACAAAATGGTGCCTAAAGCTTTCTCAAAGCCATTATGACAATAGTGTTATTAACAATCGGACAGTAGGTACATTTAGAACACTCTGAACAAGCACTACACTGCAAACGAAACTCTCTGCTAGCCTCGTGAGGGTGTCGTGCAAGTGACAGAAGCGCCTTTTTATGACAAGCAGTGGACAATGAGAACAACAAAAACAATAACGTCAATCGAAAATTGATAGAAAGCAAGCATTTCAGTAAAGTCGAAGAAGATGACACGACGATTATGAGATTACGAGAAAAAAGGAAAGTTGTAGGGTACTGCGTATCGCGCCAGAGTCAGCGCATTTGCGTCCATTGCACATGCACTGAGGTTTCTTAGTTATCTTTCTCCTTGCGAATTATTTTCTGCTAACAGATGTCATTCCAATCACCTGCAACGATTTCAAACAGTATGGGAATTTTCAAATGGTTCAAAGCTTTGTGTCTGCATAAGTAATGGCCACGAGCTCACCGACTCCGCGATAACGCAGAGCCGTATACGAGTAACTAGAATCACAACCAGAACAGATCAATTTGACACACTTAGATTTCTTTGACGTTCGAACAAATCCGCTCTGACGAGAAACTGCGCAGAATATCAATCACAAGGAGGGAGTCTACCAGGTAATACCAATAGACTGCTTTCCCTAAAACCCGTGAATTATTATTCGTCCTGCACAGTAAGACAAATCGTTTCACAGTTATGGCGAGTAAAATCAATCCGAATTAGCCAGTGGGATTTCGGCGTTGCAGAAAGAGATTACAGGCACTTTTTAGAGAAACTCCAGTGAATACCGGGAAGCGCTGCCGTTAACTACGACTCGCCGAGAGGAATCGTTTAGACCGCGCCGGTACCCGTCCAAACCCGGACGAATACGCCCGAATCCGCCCGAACCCTCCCGAACGCCGAAACTGCCAGACGCAGCAGATACGGGTGGAGGACATTAGGTCGCCGAAAGAGGGCGGTCCCCGCGGTCATTTGCGACAAATAAGCACCCTTGTACATACGCGGACATGCGTTCCTGCAGGGAATCCGCGCGGGACTCTTCCAAATTCGGCGACCTAATGTCCTCCACCCAGCAGATACGCATGCAAATTGGCATGATGGAGCACGCGTATACTGCGCGCATGGTGCATATATCTGAGTAAGACGTAGCTCGAAGTTACATACCGATTTTCATTTGCAACTACTCGGATATTACAACGAACAACTTACTTTGCGTCAGTCCTGGTATTTCGTCCCATGTTTGTTGACTGTAGGTGAGTTTTAACTTCGTGTTGTGCGTTTTCCTTTTTTTTCAGTTTTTTCCTTTTTTCGCTATGTGTAAGTGTATCTGCGCCTGCGTGTGAGTGGTATGTGTTGTTTGTGTTGTTTGTGTGATCGTGTATGTGTATGTGCAT